CACAAATCCCCACCACCCATCCCTCTCAAGCTTCCCTTCCAGAGACACAATTTTTCTTCACAATGAGCACAGACCTAGCTATTAAGAACACGTGTCCAGTCCCTCCTCTCTCCTTGAGACACTGTTCCTTCTCTGCCCATGGGACTACTGGTCACACCACAGTCACCCTAACAGTGCAGTGTTGGCAATGAGGCTGGGAGGGATGGTAACGGGGTACATGCAGCTGGTCTTTATGTCTTTCAGTGGGATTGATTCATCTGTTGTCTCACCTCTACCAAGAGGACATTGGCAACTCTCAGTCTCCAGGGTTTTGTAAGGAGAGATGAAAACAGTTCTCTGGGTTTCATACCTGTCTGTCAAGATTTCAACATGAATCCAGGGGGAAAATGAGCAGGACATAAATTCAGATGATGTTATTTAAAAAACTGGGAGACATAGGACATACGGTTTAAGCACAGAAACATCTTCTATCCCAACTATCTTGGCCTGCAATTGTAATGCCCTATCTTGAGCATGTTATCAAACTTACTGTATGTGTGTGCAAAGTATTCACACCCACAAACCACACATTAGATTTTCTATCTCAGAAGAAAGACCCGGCTGCTAATACGAGTCTCAACTGGGGTTTGTAGGGCTGGTGCAAAGCCACGTCAAACATGGCTTTCATAGCTGTGGTCAAAAACCTGCCCAGGAGCACTGAGAGCCGGGGAGCAGAGGGACCTCTGGTTCCACCACCTTCCCAGTCACCCAGCACCTCCTACAGCCTTTTTCACTGGCACCAGGGACAGTACAAGCCCCTTCCTCTGTGACCCTCTTTAACCGCTTTCCCTCCCATACCAGGCAATCTAGGTGGAGGATGAACCACAACCTGTGCTACGTCTCCACAGCGTCCTTGGGGTTGGGGCACAAGCAAATACACCCGGTGTCTGCATGTCTGGTGCCAAGTGAATACGTTTGGGTGTGACCATTCCTATGTTCATTTTGGCCGCTAGTTCAGCAAGGGCTTCCAGGGAACTGAGGTGTGTCCTGCCTGCTCTCCTGCCCCACTTCGGGTTGCAGTGACTGGTTCTGGCTCTGGAGAGCTGTTGCCATTTCCAGGCCAAAGTCCCACCTTACCCTCCCTCCCAACCTTCTCCACAGAGTCCACTCTACTCCACTTTAGAAGTGTTACTAGTTCAGCTTGACCCTTCTCTTGGCAGGAAAAATATGCTCCCTCAGCTCAGTTAACAAAAGGTTGAGTCCCAGCCAACAAAAAACCCTGAAACTATCTTTTCATGAGCTACTACTGTGCACTAAATCTTTGCTGAAGCTTAATTTCAAGCAAGGCCTAGTGTTTGTGATTTGGCTGCTCTACCCTCACACACACAGGCAGTCAGGAGGTGAACTCCCATACCCAAGGACAAGTGGCGTTCTCGCTCTTCACTTCTACTTCTGTTTGCTTGTTTGTTTTCTTTCCCTTTTTTTTTTTTCCCCCAATTACCCTTGAAATCAGACTTGCTCGCACAGCAAAATTGCCCTTGACAATGTATTTGGAAATACTGAAGCCTTCCACAGATGCAATGTTTTTAACTTGTTTTGCTGTTGTGACCAAAGCATGACAACACTCATGACTACCTATGAGCTATGTATGACCAGTGTAAACATTATTCTTGCATCAGAATAACAAAAGTCAAGCGACTGTTCAAGGCCAGGTTGGACAGAGCCTTGGGTGACATGGTTTAGTGTGAGGTGTCCCTGCCCATGGTGGGGGGGTTGGAACTAGATGGTCTTAAGGTCCTTTCCAACCCTAACTGTTCTATGATTCTATGACTGTGTAATGCTGCTACATCACTCACAAAGTTTTGTCTATGATATGAAACAAGGAAACTGGAAAATATTTCTTTCAAGGCCGCTGCAGTCAGTTTCTCTGAGATGGATGAGCCTCCGCAGATTTCAGAGCAGTGGTGGTATCTGTCCAAAATGGGCTTTGCTGACTTTGCTCGTGGATCATTCTGTTTGTCAGGACCTTGTCTTGCATTGCCTAACAGTTAGGAATATATCTTGTGCTTACTGAAAGGCTACTTCTGATAGGCCTGTGAAGAAGGACTTGAGGGTGTTGAGGTTAGCTATAAGGAAGAAGTGCTTTACTGTGAGGGTGATGAGACAGTGGCACAGGTTGCCCAAGAAAGCTGCGAATGCTCCATCCCTGGCAAAGTTCAAGGTCAGGTTGGACAGGGCTTGGAGCAGCCTGGTCTAGTGTGAGGTGTCCCTGCCCATGGCAGGAGGGTTGGAATTGGATGACCTTAAGGTCCTTTCCAACCCAAACCATTCTATGATATGCTACTCTGCTAACTTCAGTCTAGCTGAGCCAGCTGTGTTTTGGCATAGCACTCAATGGGTGTTTTAACCCAAATTTTGTGGTCCCAGAGCTGAGGCCTCACTCCAAGGGAGGCTATGGCTCTGACATAGCTGTTTGTTTCAGCTACAAAGGTTCTCGCAGGCATTCATGGTGGAGGAGACACCTGCATTTCCCTTTTCCTTTCCCTCAGGAACTGATGAGCTCTTGCCTGTGAGGCATAAGCTACCAGGCTGCTATAAGGCTTTGTGTTATTTTGCATGTATCTCAAGGGTCTGTACTTCCATGTGGCTGTCACCTTTCTACAGCTCGTTGTTTTCAGTCTCTCCCTTCCTCAGTCTCTCGCAGCTGCTTCTGTCTCAGGCCCAGTTTCACCTTCTCACCCTTACAAATGCCTCACTTTTCTTCCAGATCTTGCATCTTCTTTCTCCTTTCCTTGCAGGGCAGCTTCAATGTGTTCTCGTAATCTTCACTGTTCCACTTCTGCATTCAGCCTCCTACAGGCTATTCCACACATCATAAACTTCTTCAGCCACACTGCTGCACCCATATCCTTCCACACCTCCACCACTGATTCCAACTTTCATTCCTTCCTGGTTCATCATGCCTACGCCTTCTTCAGTGGAAAATTATTCCAGTGAGACTCAAAGCAGAGCTATGAGGTTAAGATATGTCACTAAGAGCTTTGAGCCGTATCAGAGAAAGCACTTTGAGAGAAATAGGTAAATCAGAGGGGAACAAAGATAATCCAGACCCCATACTATTTAATATTTGAATACAAGTTAAAAACAAGACAATATGCAGTCTGGGTGACAGGAATATAAAGGAAGCAATAAACATCTGAGTTTGTTCATAAGGGAGAAGGCTTGTTGATGGAAGGCAAATTTATTCATAAGGGAAAAAAGAAAACAACAAATAACAAAACCCAAAGCAGGATGAACCAGAGACCAGAGCAGAGATGAAAGGCTGGGTGATGTTCAATCAATGAGGCTGATGATTGCACGGATGACCAGTGCCTCATTCAGTACTTATGATGGTCCCACACTACGTGCCACAGCGACTGCTGCACCAATATGACTGCCTTACAAAAATCCATGTGACCTTCTGCTAAACAAAAAATGGCTGTGCAGTGCAAGCAGAAAACAGACTTAATCAGGTCAGTCATGTGTCTGTCTGGCACCCTGAAGCTGCGTTTTGTGGAGAAGGAAAAGACAGTTCTTGTAAACACCACGTACTTTAGAGGGGTATATAATACAGAAACAGGGTTTGTCACAGCAAGCGAATTGTTTTCAGTTATACAGCCTGCCTTCACTGTATAGGGCATACATTTAAGTAGCATCAATTACATTCTCTTAGGTTATTTAATTGCAAGCAGCTTTTCCTTTTGAAGCTTCCTTACCGTTTTCAAGGATAACAATGTCTAAAACAGGACTCTTTCTCCAACCAGAAGTTTCTCACAAAAACTACACAAAACATAAATTGAGGGCTCAGCAAATCGTGTTCTTTGGCTCTGAATGATTCCAGTTTCTCTTTCGACAAGAACCCACAAGTGCTAGAGTGAAGTCTGACCTAGATATGCTGCTCAGTTTGGATGGCTAGGTTCTGTTTTTTTCAGCTCAACCAGAGCTGAAAAACAATCACTGCAGCTCTGCCAGGAGAGCTCCCCAGCTCCAAGGTTGGTTGCACAGCAAACTTTGCAAAACACAGGCGTAAGCTAAGAACAGGCAGCAGTCAGTAGTGCCAGCAAGCCAGTACTGGCTCCATGTTATGCTAAACTTTTTCAGACTTTACATTATGCCCTACTGTTTCCTGGTTGCTTTAACACAGTCTGCTGACCCTGCGGTTGTATTGATTCGATTCTTCCTCTAGGGTACTTAGGATTCTGTCATCTTTCCTTCCTCTCGCTTCCATCCATCCTCTTCCTCTGAAGGATATTTTACCTCTTTACTTTTTGATGAGCTGTTCTCAGTTTCTGCCTGCAGAACACAGGTACAGACTCCTTGGGCTTGTAAGATGGCTGTAGGAAAGGAAAAGGAGTGCACTAGAACAAGAGCTTGTTGCCTCACAGCAATAGGTGGGAGCACAGTACTCCTCAGGCAAGAGAGGAGTACCTGGGCAAGAGCACCCCACAGACCTGCCGGCGGGACAGAAATGTCACAGCCCCTAAGGTAAGGGAGCAATCCTGGGGACTGGCCTTGCTCCATGCAGTGAGATTTCCAATTTACCACCCTTCTCCCTTCAGACACCCAGTACTGAGTGTACCCAGGCAAGATTTTCAAGGATGATTATTAATGCCATTTACCAAACAGAGGGAACAATGTGTCATTTACAAAGGGGAATAGGCCCCTCTTCACCTTCATGGCAGAAAAGTTCTAGACGGCTCTTGGAAGTGGACAGGGGCAGAAGCCTTGGGTGTTAAACTCTGGGCAGGATTCCTAACTTCCAGCCACTTCTATTACCAAGAAATACTGGGAAGTGATTTAGACGCAAACAAAAGCCAGAGAAGCACATCTTTTAAGTGTAAAAACTCCTAAGGAATAACAGTAAAGGAACTTATGAAGGTGACATGCATGGACAAGTTGGAGGCATTCCAGGACATACTGACACTGTGATAAAGGAGTAGGAAACAGAAGAACTATAGGGTAAAGGTAAAATCCAAACCAAATAATTCTATAGTTTTTATTTTAAAAACAGGAAACAACCACATTCATAAGCATATAAAACCCATCAGAAATATTCACAATGCTGTTACAGAAAAAGAAAATAACAAAGAGATATCATGTGAGAAAGACCTAAGCTTTTCAGTCCAAGCCAACATACATCTCTGATGCAAAGTATGGAATGCTCTTATGCACAGCTGTAGGGGGAGTTTCCTAACATATAGATGCCCATATAGAAATCTTATGTCTGGAAGTGTTGGCAGGTCACAGGAAGGGCACATAAGTCTGTATGGAGAACTATGAAAGTTGGGAAAGAAGTCATATGTAATACTTCCAAGATTGAGTATCTGGCACAGAAGCCTAATAGAAAGCTAGGAGAAAGAGGATGTAATAGGGCTGCACTGTGCAAAGCTGGAGTATTTCAAGTGAAATCACAGGAAATATTTTACAGCAGAAAATATACTGATCTTTGCAACCCTTTCTCATTAAGGAGGGTAGAAGCATCATCACTACTTACTGAAAAAATGCCAGATACACACCCCCAAAATACACATCAATGTATTTATCTCTCTGACCTACTCTGAAGCAGTATGTTTTCAAGAAAGCTTGGTTTAGCCACACTACTACAATTTTGCTATTGTTCCTGCCCTTCTGAGCCTTTCTTCCTTTCACCCACCTCAGAATCCATGGGCCTGCCTCTCCTACGATATCCAATGAACTCCACCATGAGGTTGCAGGTAGACTTGAGTTTCATCAGGTCTGAAAAAGCAGATGATCCTGGAGCCAGAGTTTAAATTGGCCCACCTCTGTGCTACCTTTAGCCAGCTTGTGCAGGTCTGGACAGACATGGACCTGGAGTCTCTCTTGACAGAACACTGCAGTAACAAAGGGAAAGCTCCCACCCCTTGACTGCAAGTATACCATAGGTGCCACTTTCTGCTTTCCTTAACTGAACTGTGCTAGCCTGGCAGCAAGGGTAGGTGAATACATACTCAATTGCCTAGCAGTAGAACAAGCAGAGACACCAATATTTACCAACGTACAGTTACCATCTGCCATATCCCTCTTTAAAACAGAGGCACTTTTACAGAGCAGTACACATCTACGCAGCACACTGTACACTGGTGGGTGGATCACAACATCATGCAGGTCTTCCAGAGAGGCCATATGGGGCAAAATCGCTTAGCCTGCAATCAACCAGTGGACTTAACACTACAGACCTTCCACACTGATGAGCTAGTAAGTTCCAATAGCTTTGGTCTCCAGTTCTGCATCTCTACCTTTATGAGCTTACACATGCTATAACTGACCATGCCTATGTCCAGAAGGGTCGATGCTACCCATGCCTCTGTTTAATACTTAGATCAACAACTGGTAAGAAAACACAACTTTGAAAAGTAAGTTTTATCCTCAGACCCCTTTAAGTAACAATTTGCAATTTTCAGACCTTCTGACCTGCTAGAATACAGCAGAGAAGCAAAAAGAAAATAAAAATTAAGAACTGAGGAAAAGTTACTGTCAGGTTTGCAATCAGCACTCTCAATCACCCCATAAAATGCTTAACCATGACTTAAAATATAAACTATGCTTAACCATGACTTAAAATATAAACTAAACTAATAAAATTAATTTGCTGCGATATCACTTTCCAACCAAGACTTGGAAACGGTATTTAAAATTGCCACCCAAAAAAATCCCAATGAACAGATTTCAGTAGACAAACATACCTCTTCCTGCTAGTACGCAATCTCTTGCATTTCCTTCCAGAGGGCACAAATACCATGTCAGTGTTATGTGCAGAACTGGCTGTTGTCCATACCATCCAAAATGCCCAATTTCCTGTTTAGTACCACATTTCTCATTCAGTCTTACTGCACCTCAAGTCTACAGCATCTTGTTAGATTAGCTATTTCTCTTAAACATCTTCAATTTCAGTATCTGTACACTTTTGTACACCATTTAAAAAAATAAAATATTTACAAAGTGACATACAAATAAATAAACTTAAGTATGCTTTCAGTCTGTCTATACAGAAAAGAAAAAATAAAAGAGCAGGAAAAATATGCATGTAACTTGGTCCCCTTTTTCCTGAGGCTGAAAAAAAGTGCACACTGGATAGGAAAAAGCAAGTAGATGGCTTTTTGGTAGGCTTGTTAAATTCCAGTGTAACACTGCGCGCGCACACACACACACACACACACACACACAGTAGACTCAAAGGGCCAGGGACCTGCTTAGTGGCTCACTTCAACTCACTAAAAAAATAGGAATTAGATTCAAATATATAATGGTCACTGCGTGCGTAAGTATTAACCCCAAATAGCAATTAAAGGTGAGAAAAGCAAAAAAAAATATCGCCAGCTCTTCTCTGCTCCCCCAGTGTTTGTGACAGGGAAGATGAAATTATTTTTCCAAGTGCCAGGTGCCTTCCAGTACTTGAAAATGGGACCACCAACATCAGCTTTGCTTAATGCTTGTAAGCCTGGCAGAATAGGTGGGTATATGGGCACAAAGAAGAAAATAGCAGCAACTGAAGGGGGGGGGAGGTTGTTAATGTCCCAGTTCTCATGGTTCTCTTTGCCAATTCCTTTTGTGACTCTTTAAAGCATGTAAGAGTCAAAGAAGGGGTGCGTCATGAATCTCAGGCAACTTGTTTGTTAGGTTGCATGCTGTTCAGCTCCACCATGGGGTTCTTCTCTACAGGTGAAGAGGGGCTGGCTTCTGCTCGTCCTTCAAAGCCCCTGGAGATATCTTCAAAAGTCCTGCCCTTGGTCTCCGGCACTTTGAAGAATGTGAAGATAAAGAAGATGACCAGGAAAACAAGGAAGATGAGGAAGACATAGGGGCCACACAGTTTCTGCAGGGAGGACAAATTGAGAGGTTTTAATTTGAAAAGCTCATAAGCCTAAATACATTTGCTGTTAACAGGCCAAAATTACAGCACCTTTCATCAATGCCCTCACTGGCTTTTTGGTCAACACAGCATTTATCAAAATGAAATCGGGTTCTCCTGGACTTCTGAAATGCTTTAATGTTCCTGGGGGTGATCAAAATTTAGTCTTTTAAAGGGAAAGCCTTGATGTGATAGTTGTAAGAGCCTTCTTAACCATTTGGAAGCCACAAGCAGTTAAGACGGTAGAATATAAGATGAGCCATCCCACTCAACCTTCAGTAACAATCAGAACACAGAATCGGGGACCTAGGGAACACTGACCAATCTTCTGCTCAAAGTAGGGACAACTTCAAGAAGAGATCAGGTTAGGGGTCATGTAATCATCTTTTTAAGTCTCCAAGGACAGAGATTGTACTGCCTCTCTGGACAACTATTCCAATGCTGCAGCACTATGTTTTGCAAACTGGGTCCTTACCTCTGCATAGGGAAAAAGCATTCCCACCAAGAAATTGGAAGTCCAGTTGGAACAACCGGCCACTGCCATGGCTGCAGGCCGTGGGCCCTGGCTGAAGAGTTCTGCCACAATGAACCATGGGATAGGGCCAGGGCCAATCTCAAAAAGAGCCACAAAGCCAAAAGTGGCAATAATGCTGATGTATCTGATCCATCCCACAGCGTCCTGTAAGGGAATAAAAAGTGATCAGCTGCAATTCGAGACAAACATGGCAGAGCACAATGCCATCTCTAGTGTCACAACTTTCTCAGCTGCACTGTAAGCACAGTTAGGAAGTTGCACTTTCCACTGCACACTCAGCTCTAACCCCAGGTGTACCTGCCCACAGGACAGAATTACAGGCCAAAGCAGATATGTAATCTCATAGGTCCCCAGCTGAGGTCAACCTGGACATGAACACGATTACTTACCTTCAGAGCTAAAGCGATGGTCATAACAGCAGCACACACAGCCATGCCACCCAAGCCAATTAAATGAAGAGTCCTGCGCCCCGCACGCTCCACCAGGAACAGCTGGAAATGGCAGGAGGAGATAAAAAACAAAACACAAACAAATCCATAAGAGCAGATGAGGCTCCCTTGCTCAGCATGCCCTGCTCCTCTTCCCTTTATCTGCCTGTAGCCCTCAGTGCCAGTGGCAATCTCAGTGCAGGTCACCAGGCTGCACCATCTTTGTCACAAAGTATTTCCTCCCTGGTTCTTGCCTTCTGTCATCCCCATGCACTCCTTTTCACTCTCCCTTTCTTCTAGAAGGGTAGCAATACCTCTTTCTCCCCTCCTCTCACAATGCTTTTAATGCATTCTTTTCTTTGGTCTTATAGGCCACAGCCTGGCTATTTGTCTTCAGTCCCATCTCCCAAAAATGCCCAGGCAGACAAGTTACCTCTTACCATAAGGCCTTGTTCCACTTACCGACACAACAGTGAAGACTGTGTTTACGACACCAGCTCCAATAGTGGCATACACAGGCTGTGTGATACCAGCTCTTTCAAAAATCCCTGTAGAATAATAGAATACCTGGGAAGAGAAGCAAAAGTTGGACAGTGTCACAATTCCATGTTTTGGGCGCATATCCCTCATTCTCTGCCCAACAGGGAGTTGTTAAGCACTCCACAGCATGAAACAGGATGCTTCCAGTCAAAGTTAATTCATTTGGTGAAAGGCTGCAATGTCTTGACAGGGGGTGCAAGGCAAAAGTGAAAGCAAATATAATCTCCACCTTAGCAATCTCTGCACTATCACAAAACAGTGACCTCCAGACAAGGCACAAAGAGGTTTCTGGAAGAACAGATCTCTCAACATTAGCAGCAAGTGCAAGTGAAGCCAGAGATAAGAGAGGCCCAGCAGACGGGACAGGAAAATAACTCACAGCATTGATGCCTGAGAGCTGTTGGGAGAGCTGCAGCATGATGGCGATGATAATGGCTTGACGATAGCTTGGAGAACGGAAGAGCTCTGGCACAGTTGCTTTCTTTTCCTGGGACATTTTGGCACTCTCTTCTTTCATCTCCTGGATGTCTTGAGACACATCTTGTGTACCACGGAGCTTCTGAAGAACTGGAGGGACGAATCAAAAGCCATGTACAACACACCTACAGCCAGTAAGTCCCCATCCTGCTATTTCGGAGGGCACACTGGGAATACTGGAGCACCTGCTAGTCAGTGCTTGGGCCTGCTATGTGGGAAAGACTGAAGCTCTACCTGCAGCCTTGCTCACCTTTTCAACCCAGACAGAGGCCAGGATGCTGTGATCAGCATGGAAATCAAGCCCTGCTCATGCTGCTTGATCTCCAACTTACATCTGATCCCCAGTTCTGTTCACACACTTGCTAGAACTGACTCCAGCCCTCTGTGGTAGGAGAGGAAACACCCTCCAAGCTCCTTGTTAAGTATCAGCCTTTGAGAAGGATCTGAGAGAGCTGAAGAAGGCCCTGCTACATCCCACCAGGCCAGGTGCCACTCCTCATGCCTCAGTCCCACCTGAAGTGTCTGTTAAGATGCCAGGTTTCCCACACTTTCTGGCGCTGGTGCAACCCAAAGGATGGGAGTGTAGGCCAGGCCTGGTGCCTTCCAGAAGTCACACCCTGATCCATCACGGGCTCCAGAGCCAGTCCTAGCCTCCCACTCAAGTTCAGTGCAGGCTGGGAGCCAGAATACAGCCCTACCCCTTCAGAGTTGAGCTCTTACCTGCTTGAGCTTTCTCCTCCTCCATCTTGTTGATCAATAGGAAGCGGGGACTCTCAGGGCAGAAAAGAAGAGCCACACACTGCAGAAGCGCTGGGAGGACCGTGAACCCCAAAAGCAGTGGCCAAAGTAGTTCTGTCCCCATGATTTCCTCCAGCCCAAAGATCTACACCAAGAATTGGAGAGAAATAGTGATTGGAGTGAAACAGTGAAATGCAGCTCCTCACCCCCACACCAGCGAGTATGACAGGACCACACATCACACCTGATGGCAAGCACAGCCCACCTCCCCTCCCACCCACCCCTCCTCCTCTCCCCTGAGGGAAGCAGAACAGGTTATGTCAAGCCTACCTGGGCCACCAGGATGCCCACCACAATGCCCAGCTGGTTGAGGGTGCCAAAGGCTCCACGGAGGCTGGTGGGCGAGACCTCACTGATGTACATGGGCACAAAGCCAGTGCAGAGACCACAGAAGATACCAATAACAAAGCGGCCAATAATCAGCATCTCCACTGCCTTTGCCATCTTGGAGAAGGCCATAGAAGTACCACCAACAAAGGCCAAGATGTTCACCAATAACATAGAGTTCCTCCTGCAGGGTAAAGATGTCAAGACTGAGCTTAAACTGGTGATACAGTAGGGAAACAAAATCACTGGGAGGTGGGTAAACCTACCCATGACCCTGTCCCTTATCTCAGGGGTAGAAGGAGAACAGAGTAATTCCCATTCAGCAACTCTCTTGGCCTGCAACCCTTTCTTTTTGCAGCCCACATTCTTTTTTCTTCCTTGTCTCTAAGGTCTGCCCTCTTCCTCCCAACACTTCACTGTAGAAGGGAAAGATTCCCCAATGGCTTGGATCCCTGGTCCCAACTTACCTGCCAAATCTGTTGACAAACAGGCTGACTGAGAAGGAGCCGATCATGCCTCCTACTGAGAAGATGGCCACAGAAAGAGACCAGAGAGAGGTGAGGAGCTCTGGGGAAGGAGGCTTCCCACTCCGTTCTGACAGGGTTCCGTTGAAGAAGCCCCGGATGATCTGCAATAGAAACCAGGTGAGGACAGAGTTACAATCCAGTGGGAGGCATTTTGCACTGGGGATGTGGGGGGAGGAGGAGAGATTACTGCTGAGGTCTTCCTTCTCTTTGCATGGAAGCAAGCAGCAAGGATAGACCCTAAAACTTCAGTAGGCAGCAACAAGTCATACAAGGGGAAGATCAAGGAGCAGAAAGAGGAACTTTCATTCAGAAGCTCAGTAGACAGTATGATGGGGAACACTGACTTGGGGAGGGGGCAGCCTTTATTAAGGAAAACAGGCTTATCTGCTGAATGTTTCTGGATTACATGAGTCACTGGTGGTGTTTGGGAGGGGGTGCAAGACAGCTGGGAGTGAGGAGGAGCATGAAAACATGACCAGGGATTATAAGGGAACATTTATGGCAATAACAGAACTCTGGCAGCAGACAGGCTTTCTGGTATGGAAACAGTTTAAGAATGTTTCACCGAGGTAAGCCTGAAAAACTGCAGCCTTATGTAAAACAATCCTACATTGTCCCACGGGGATGTGACAGGGCCATGTTGCTGATTTTCAAAGCATCCTTTTTGATAATGAGATCAATTCTGCAAGGGCTGAGGGCAGCAAGGCCTCAGTGCCTGTCCCCAGCAGATGGCAGCAGGACATTAGCTAGGGAGGACCCCCCAGCCACCCACCCCCCGGTGATGTGACATCTATTCCCGGAGACAGGGTGGATGCGGTACTGGTGACTCAGTTCCTGAGAGAGAGAGAGAGAGGAACCATCTTACAGTCACAAGAAAACCACATTTCTCATTTTCTTCATCTCTTCTTTCTTAGACTGAAGTCATGAGACGATTTGGTCAGTGTGTGCAAGTCGCAACCCTTCTACAAGCGCTGAATCTACACTTAACACAAGGAATGAATAAACAAAAGAAAGAAGCCTGAGATGGTCCCTGAGATAAACTAAACTAGAACTGTAATCCCTACCAACCCTCAACTGTCTTCTGTATGCTCTCTTTACAGTTCTTTCTGCCATGGCTGCTTTGTTCCAACTTAAAACTGAAGCGGCTCACATTCCTCCACACACCTAATATAGCCTAGCAGGAAATGGCAAATGGAGCCCTCCTGCCCCCTCTGTACTCCTATTTAAAAGGATAAACGTCTCTGCTTGCTCTCTCCTCCCACAGGCTTTTCCCTTCCTGTTCATTGTTGTAGCTGAGAAGGCTTTGAACGTCTTCCTGACTTCATAAACCAGAATCAAATTATTAGCTGCTTAGGAGGCAACTTTAGTCCTTTCTACATCTCCCCTCTCACCTTCTCAGGAGCATTGATGACACCAGTGTTGTACCCAAACTGGAGAGATCCAATGGCAGCAATGGTAACTGCATAGACAAGGGGTACTGTGATTTTCTGTGGAAAGGGGAGAGAAAATAATTGTTTTATTAATTTGTTTAATCATGCTTTCTACATGACCCGAGTTTCTCTTCGGCATGAACAGCAGCTTCAGCTCATAGATGGCATGTGCAAGTGCACCAACAGCAAGGAATGGACTTTAATCCAGCAAGGGTGGGTACCAGAGACCCTGGAAAGGGAGATGCAACTGTATAGCAGGAAAAAGCTCTGTAACCAGAAGAGTCCGGGCCTGTCAGGACCTCCCTTTTATCCTCCTGACCTTCATCAGCTATTCTCAGCTCATTAGCAATGAATAACACCAGTGGCTGTTATTTTGGGTTGATCTGCTTTACGAAAAGCTTTTGCTGATCTCTGGCATGTCATGAAACAAGGGTCTAACTCTTCCCCTGCCAGCTGACAAGTTCCCATAAATTGAGTCTCTGATCTGCCCATGAGCTGTACTGGCAGTCACTCCTAATAGTTAAAACATGCACTCTTCAGCAACAGGCCTTCCTTCTGCAGGCTAGAGCTTCCCAGCCCTGCCCCAGGGCACCTGGCACAGCAGCCTGCCTCACAGAGGTGGCAGCACTTGGTGCCAGCCTCGCCGTTTGTTTTTCTTGAAGCTGGAGCAATACTTGGCATTTTAAATGAAGCACAGTCCCTGGAATTTGAGCATATGTGAACCTCTGTTTAGCAAAGTGAAATCCCACTGAGCCCTCAGAGCTATAGAGGAAGCATAAAGGTCCAACTTCTTAAGCACCACAGAGCAAGAAAACTGAGTGTCAGTGAAAAGCATCTGACATTTCCTACGTTTTTAAAGCTTCTGGCATTTGAGCTGGCTCTCTGCTAGGAAGGCGTAGGGGAGCAGGTGACTCAGGAGTTGGCACAACTTGGAAAGATCGTGTTTCTCAGGAGGGATTGGAAGGCTTTGCCAAAAATATTGACAGTCCATTTTCCAAGGCTCCCCAGTTATTGTCCTATGGCTGGCAGAGGGGTCTGCTGTCACAGCTCTTTGAGTCTCTCTTCCAGCTCTAGGAGCAGTGGCTCCCAAGAGAGACCAAAATCTTGTACAATAAATAGCCTTCTGCCAGTGCTCATGCCTCCTTTACCAATCCTGCAAGTCAAGCCAGCTCTTCTGGCCTGCACAACCATCACGCAGCTACAAGTTAGGCCCCAGTAAACAGCAACTGGGGAAATTACTCTCAGGCTTGCTTTCCCCCACCCACATCATTAAATGTCTCGGGCTCTCCCTCTGATAAGGTTAGTGATGGAAACAAAGGGGACAAAAGCCTTTTCTTGCAGGGGGCAGGCAGATGATTCCCAATGGTAAGGCCCACTCCCATCATTTTTTGTCTCAAGCCGATTTGGCACAGAACCACAGCTCTTTCAAAGCCCCTGGATGCCTGTAAAAGGAAATCAAGCTATCTAAGCACTTTCAGGACACCAGGCCAGGTCATCACTAGTCAGCAGGCACAGCAGTTGAGGACAAAACCCAGCTCTCCAGGTCTTCAACATAGTGACTCAACATAAGAGCATCTTTCCCCCTAGGGCTCTGCTTTGTCACGGCTTGCAGTGGTCACAGCCTTTTTCTTCTGGATGCAGCAGGGACCATAGTACCCCTTACCTACATGGTACATAAATAAGCTATAAGGAGGTTAGTTGTTCTACCCTTTTTCATACTCGGGGCTGTTGCCTGCTATTCATCTCCTACCACGTAGGCATCACATGGCCTGACCAATTCCCTCCAGTGAGCCAGCCCATGATCTAATGTATGGATCGTTTGTTACTGCAGAAAGCACCTCACTTCCCAAAAGACAAACAGAAAGCTCATAAATAGTACAGCTACACCCATCCTATCCAAAAGCTTCAGGCTAAGGTCTATACACCACCAAGGAATTCAAACCTCCACCTCTCCCCTGTAACCACAGGCATCAGCAGTATTCATTACCCAGGACATGCTCCTCACCAGCACTCCCTCCTCCACTGGAACCTCCGAGCAGTTGCAACTTGTTGAACCCAACTACCGCGGCCTCTCAGCCCTCCTCTGAGCGACCTTGATCAAGCCCTCTCCTTCCCTCTGCCTCCTCATGCTACCCGCAAGCCCCGTCAATATGGCGATGAGAGCCGCGGACATCCCCGGGAGGCTGTAATTCCCCGGCATCCCGCCCCGGACCCTGCCAGGCATTTGCCCTCTCTCGCCCCCTATGCCTGCCCGCTTCTCTCCCGTGATGCGTTCAAACACACGCAGTCATTAGCTCACTGCACTGGCGCACGCCTCGCTCGTAGTTTGCGGATGAGCGATGACACCAACAAAAGCTCTGCCCCTGATCTCCAAAGAGGGGGGAAAAGGACATCCTATTTCTTTTTGAAATTCGAAAATGCCTTTATAAGCAAATACCACCATCACACACACACACACAAAAAAAAAATACAACAGAAATAAAAGCGCTGTTAGCAGTAATCCCCGCGTTGCTTTTAGCATCATGAACGCCGGGACGAACGAGCGTTGCCCTGCCAGCAGAGTAAGCCTCGTGATCAGTCGATACGGATGCCGGCATCATGGGGATTTATCAGGCCACACGCACGAGAACACATCCATCCTGCCACCCGCACCAGCCCCTCCCGAACAGGCCAACCCCCTCTCACGGACGGGGCTTTTGCCCATCCACCCTCTCCAGAGCCGCCGTGGCGCCCTGCCGCCGCCGCCACCACCGGCATCCATCTTCACTACGGCCGACAGACACCCGGCGGTGAATCCTGACCAGCCGCGGCAGAATCGCTCCCTCCCCACACCTCCGCCGAAGGGGAGCCGAGCGGCGGCTGCAGGAAGAGAAGGCAGCACAGCTCCGCGCTCCTTTCCTCACCTACCTTTTTAGCATCCATCGCCGGCAACGGACTGCTGAGCGGCTGCCGCTCCTCCACCTAACGGACCGCACGGGGAGCCGGCCGCGCCCACGCTCCGAGCCCACGCCTCTCCCCAGCCCGCACCCGCTGATTTAAGGCCTCCGTTGTGCGAGGGGTGGTGGGAGGCGCGGAGGGCGGAGCTCGGGCACCCCCGGAGCACCTGGGAAACCGCGCACACGAGAGCCCACCCCACCCCACCCCGGCACCTCCCAGCACCCGCGGCGCTCGCACCGCGTCCTGGCCCGCAACTGCCGGCGGCCGTGCGCCGGCGTGCGTGCGGAGCAGCCCGGCTGCCATGGTGGGCAGCGGCGGGAGGCAGGACCCAGCGCTTCGCGGAGGAGCCGTTACCGCTCTTCGGCACCTGCGGTGCCTCATGCGTGTGGCGAGGGGCAGGGTGCGGGGCTGTGCGTGGTGGGAGCGGCGGGACACGGCTGCTACCGACCGCAGCTGGAAGAGCAAGGCCGGCAGTGACGGCGCAGCGAGAGCAGCGTAAACGGCACGGGCGGAGGGAGCCAAATGCTGTGCTTTAGGGATGCTCATCCCAGCTCCTGAAGATGGGAATGAGGCACGGGCACGGAGAACTGGGTTTGGGGGATTTTATATGTGTATATAGATATATGTATAAATATCTATTTTTGTCCTACAAAGCTAAAAGCAACAGGGTCAAAGCTGAACTTGTGATCCCGCAGCTCTATTTAGTCCCAAACTTAAGCCCTTCCCATCAAACTGTACTACTGTGTGCGCTGCGCACGTTCATTTGGTGCCCATCCTTCAGGTCAAACGCTTGCAAACCTCTACAGAGTACCGAAGTGCTTTGAATCTCAGGCAAAATCTCTGTCAGACAATAAAAAGTCTTCACTGAATGAAGAACCTGCCAAGTGTTTTGGCCTCAGAAAATGGCAACAGCTCAGAGCCGGGCTGTGGGCAAGAGTGGGGGGAGACTTATGCCTTCTTCTGAAGGTGACTAGTGCCATCACTTCAGTCACCAGGAGCGATCGCGTTTTCATTTAAGTCCCGCTGTTTATTTTGTCGGTCAAAAGGGGTTGACGCTTTCCCTCACTACCTTCGCGGGTATTTATATGTTGTTGAAATATTAATTCCAACAGAAAAAAAAAATAAATACAGTTATATAGAGGTGCAAGGGAAGCCTGCATAGTCCCCTTGTTTAGGCTACGTGACAAAAGCTCGTTTGCCCACCCACAAAGGAGCACAGGGAAACAATGGCAGGAGGAGGACCCCAAATAACACCCTGCCCCAGCTACTCCCGGGACTATCACAAGAGCCATCAGCACATCAAAGGCTCATTTTCACACGCCCGGAGGAGAGCAGGGGCCACAATGCCAGATGGCAATCGAAATTAAGGACTGAGAGGAAGGGACCCCCTGCCTCAGCCCGCCCCTCCCAGGGCTCCCCCAGGGAGAGCCATCAGCTCCATTGTCCAGGTGTGAAACCCATCACTAAGAGTCAAAGGCTGGAGCACCTTCAAGACTGGGGGAAAACCAGGGTGCGGCCTAAGGGGGCACTGGACACATGGCAGGATGCAGGGGAAGAACATTTTGGGATTGCACGGGATTTACTATGGGATATTTAGGGGGGGTATCAAAGGGGAGAGGGGAAAATAGGAACAGTTGCATGTAAACTGTTGGCTGGCCAGCACATGGGTGCAGCCTTGCACCGCACTTTTTTAGTACAGTTTTCCTGTTAAATTCTCTCTCTCCCTGGGTGAGGTACTCTCTATTTGGGGGCTCTAAGGGTCCATAGAGGTAAGCCCCACTGGTGTGTGTGTGTTTAAGAGTGAGGCCATGGCAGGTTGGCTATTGGAGGGACCAGGGGAGTCCTGGCCAGCTGTGCATACCCTTGTGTGTGTGTGTATGTGTGTGTGTGCATCTGTACAGCAACGGGAGTGGGACTGCAACCTCGAGGTCTCATACGCCCAGGTACCAGCAACTGGGGAGACTGGGATCTGGGGGCAGACTGAGTGTCTTAGCCCAGCTCCTGGAAGGATCCACCTTATTCATGTGTATATATATATGCAATATATATATATATATACACACACACATGTATATTTCCCTCTATTGGACCTCCATCCTGCTCAGTCTAGGAGGGAAACAGGATGAGGACATTCGTGCCATTTGTGTAAGTGCTCTGTGTGTCTGTGTACATCTGTGTGGCAGCCACGTATATGCCTGGTGTATATGTGTGCTTTTATGCATGTGCCCACAGGGAATACATGCTCAGCCTTGCTACGGTTGCACCTGGGAACAAGGAGCTGTGGCAGCATTCCCTCTGCCAGGCTGTTGGATCTGGCCCTGATTTCCTAACACACTTCTCTTTTTTCCTAGCTTATTTTCCATTTATTTGCAAGCACAGCAAACTCCACCTCGAATCTGATCTCCCAGCTCTCTCAAACGCTGCCTGCCATTAGATCTGGAAATAGGAATCTACTGGTTAGTCTGGGAAGTTGCCATATTTGGGGAGGTTCTAAGTATATCCAGACTTCAGAGGCAATCTTTGGACTGTACGTTCTTCTGACAAAGCCTCATGTCTAGTTTATTCTTGACCCACATGACCCTGTTGCAAGTGCTGAGCAATTCAAACTTGAAGATTAAGCACATACAGAGCTACCAGTCCAACTTAGAAACAATACGAGTTTAGCTGAAAATTAAATCTCTAACACGTGATGCAGAACACAGCTGGTGGCACTTCTTTATCTTTACAGAGGCAGTGGAGTAAACAGCAGTAAAAAAGAGACACAGGCTCAAAATGCATCACTAAAACCCAAATCTTCCTAAGGAATGTTGGGAAAATACCCCAGCCTCCCATTTCAGTGAGTTTTGTCCCAGTTTGAATTAATCTGCTGATGTTCAAATATTTAGATTTTAAGTTTGCATCACAGCCTGTTCTTCCTAAATATCAGTTTTGTTTCTGTCTTAGGATATACCCCTACCTCCCACATCACAGATAATCACAGATCAGCTGTTGGGGGAAGTACCTTAATGCGTCCTTAGCAGAACTTTCTGATCCTGCAAGTAAAACTATCTACTTCTCCCTTTATGAATATAATACTTGTGTACTATGCAAAGCGCATTCACTGCACTAGGATGGAGGCCCATTGCAGGTTGGCAGTGGCCGGTCAGACATAAGATTTCTAAGGGAATGGTCAGGCAGAACTGGTCCCAGGTAGCACTTCGTGCTGGCTGCCCCACATGAAACACCAGTATCCTAACCACGGAGCTCTGGGGATTGGGAAAGGTTCATCTTTCCCTTAAAAAGCTTTTTTCTTTTCAGCTTTGAGAACACTTGCATGTCTAAACAGTGCATGCCAAGTAACGTTTCCTTTCCAGTGCAAACATTTTCTGAGGATTTAATCACAGAATGCCTACCTAGCATTAAGCAAGAGCCCAACAATAGCAAGCCTGTTCTTATCTTCATTTATCTCTCAGAGACTTGAGCTAGCAAGTGACCCCACAGAAGCACCTTGCTGTGGCTTTTTGTGAGTGTTAGTGGAGCTCCCACAGGTACAGTTCTCTGGCAAACACATTTAATATACAAAAAAAACTTGGCTCAAGGGACAAATGAGGAGAAGGCAGAAGAAATTCGATGCTAAAAAAAAAGAAATAAATATTTTTGATCCTGTCCATGCCTCCACAATCTAATGGGAACACAGACTGATCAACAGGGATTGATCAACAACCAAAGGGTCATCAGTCTGCTGTCCAAGTTGCTAGCAAGCTGCATTTCACCTTACACTAGCTTTATTCCAGGCTCTCTTTTTCCCCTCCAAGTTTAGCAAATCCTTTCTCATGTTTCTTATTATTTCGCCTGAAGAACAAATTCTTCAGAGATAAGAGCAGCAGGGACCAGGAGGATTATTATGTAGTGTTTGCCTTGAGAGATTATTTTGTACTTTTCTGTTTGTTGTGTTTATAACAAAAGAGCATTCAGAACAAAGGAGAGAGAATGAGAGCCAGCAGGGGCCAGATGCTTCCCCCACAAGCAATGAGTAACTTTTATTGTTGAGAGAAGCTGAGAAGGAGTGGGGAAAAAGGAGAGAAGATAAAAGAGAGGAACAAGATGATGGCTGGGGAGTAGGCTGGCCCACAGAGGTTAAGAGAGTGAGAAGAGAACCAATGGAGAGACAGAAAGCAAAACCAGTAAGAAAATAAGGAGGCAAAGAAAGGAAGCACTAAAACAGATTAGAAGGGCAAGGCAGAGCAACAGGAGAGAAAAGGAAGGAAAAAATAGCAGCAAAGTATCAGAGGAAAATGGACAACAGGAGAATAGATAGGAAAGATGAATAGAGAGATGCAGGAGGAAATTGCAGGATTACCTAACTAAGACAGCACAGACACAGCACTGGAGAGATCATCTGCCATGATGAGATGCAGGTTGGAGTTAATGTCTCTGAAAACTTCCCTAATTAACCCTAATTAATCAAATCACTGATGTCAACAGTTTTAATACTTTAACAATGGCCTGCTAAGGGGAAGAGATGTGACAGCCACCAGAAAGTCATCTTAGTCCCACTTTCTATAGCACTACAGGCCTTGCCTTCTTCTTTTGCTCTGACTGGAAAGTGACTCCTGCCCAGCCTCTGAGCCAGGAGCCTACTTTTTTTTCCCCATTGATGTTGCCTGGGCAACCAGACTTTCTAGCAAAGAGAGGAGCAATATATGTGTGCATTTGCCCTTTTCTTGTGCTATCCGTTTATATGGTTTTATTCTAATGTTGGTCCACAACAAGAATGAAGCCCGTGCATGTGACTCACAATGCTGTAAATATATTGTTTCTGTAAGCAACTGACCTTCTTACTACATCTGAGTTTCTGACTCCTCTTCCCTGGGACTTACAGGCCATAGGTGAACTACAACTGAAACAACCGTAAAGCCCACATCACAGTCCTGGACTAGGATGCTGCAGCACCTGGGGAGGTGGAGGCAGCAGCAGAGCTGTGATGTGAGCTCAGGTGTGAGCTGGCCAGAAGCTGCAGGGCAGGAGTGAGAGAGGCTATGGCCGAAATATCTGTGGTGAGGGTTTTTATATATTAGCCACTACATGTCACCGTGGCTTTCTTCACCCTGAGCAAGAAACTGAAATAGAAAGGCAGTGTAAGAAAACAAGCTGGCTAATGAA